GTGAGGCCCAAGCAGCTTGCCACTCGGGCCTCACTGCTGTCTCCCCCCCACCGGCTTCGAAGCAGCGGCGGCAGCGGTGAGGGAGTTCGCACATTTGGGGGGATTTTTAAGTATCCCCCCAATATTTTTTTCGGGTTTTTAGATTTTTGTGCACACCTGGGGACTGCCCCAAGTGTGCACAAAAATCTCCCTCCCCCCCAGGTGCCCCCGATGCACGGATTTAGGTATCCGCACGCAGGGGGCGCCTTTCGCTATTAGATATTAGGAATAATACACAATGCACTTCGTAAGGTGGAACCTATAGAACACTTTAACTTAGCAATAAGGTTTTTGCAGTGTATATATTTGCTGTTTGACTCTTCTAACACCGCAGCTCGCGTTTCCACATCAACCAGTTTTAGCCATGAACTTTGAAAACTGTCCTTTGCTAGAAGGTGCAAATAACATCCCTCTAGGGAATAGAGTATTTTTAGCCTAAAGAAAAAAGGTCGCCATCCAAGCCCTTTGCTTCGAAGGACCTGGGACCTTCGGCATGCCAAGCAGATGCACTCAGCCACAGCCAGCCCAAGGTTACCCAGTGGGCTTCATGGCAGAGTGAAGATTTGAACCCGTCTCTCCCAAGTGTCCTCGTCTGACTCTAACCGCTACACTACACCCACAATCCAGTGTTCCCTCTAAGCTGAGTTACTGTGAGCTATCTCACAGTTTGCTAGCCTCCAGCTCACAGATTTTTGCCTTCGCTCAGGAAGGAAGGCTCCAGAGCAAACTGATTGATGCCACAGCCAAATTTCTTGCGCGCAACTTTAATGCCGGTAGCCCACAAAGGAAAATTTTTTGCTCACAAGACTCAACAGCGTAGAGGGAGCATTACTGCCTCATGAATCCGCCTACACTTTTTTGAATGAAACAGTCAACAACAACAACAACAAAAGTTTCCCAAGCTGCAGAGAGTCAGAGAGGCAGGTGGCCGACTGCAGGTTGGGACGGAAGGGGGGGGCAAGGCTTATTTGAAGATCCTCCCCCACCAATCTGAAAGCGCAGGCATCAGAACGCAGGTGCACACATCAGAACTTGTTCTAACTGGCAAAGGAAGACAGTCTTTACTCCCCCCCTCCCCCCCCAGGTATGCCTTCCATAAAGGGAGTGGGTGTCATCTCACATTCGCATACAAGAGCACAATTCCAGTCCAGGCCAACAAGATTTCCAGAATATTTAGAGGAGGAGGAGGAGGAGGAGGAGGAGGAGATTGGATTTATACCCCGCCCTTCACTTGGAGTCTCAGAGCGGCTGACAATCTCCTTTCCCTTCCCCTCCCCACAACAAGACACCCTGTGGGGCAGGCGGGACTGAGAGAGCTCTTTCGAGAACTGCTCTTGAGAGAACAGCTCCGAGAGAACTGTGGCTGACCCAAGGTCACACCAGCAGCTGCATGTAGAGGAGTGGGGAATCAAACCCGGTTCTCCCAAATTAGAGTCCGCGCACTTAACCACTACACCAGACTCCAAGTTCCCTTGGCCAGATATTCGCATGCAAGTTACGGTGATGTCCAATCATTATTTGAGTCCAGCAGCACTTTACAGACCAACAAGGTTTTGGGGGATATCTGAGGAAGGGAGCGATGACTCTGGACAGCTCTAGGTGCCCCTTTAAAATTATTGGACACCTTATTGGACATCACTGTAACTTGCATGCAAATATCTGGCAAAGGGAACTTGGAGTCTGGTGTCGGTGGTGAAGTGCGTGGACTCTAATCTGGGAGAACCGGGTTTGATTCCCCACTTGCACTTGGCTGGATGACTTTGGGTCAATCACAAGTTCTCTCAGAGCTGTTCTCTCAAGAGCAGTTCTCGGGAGAGCTCTCTCAGCCCCCGAAATCTTTTTGGCCTCTAGAGTGTGACTGGACTCAAATCCAGCTCTTCTACTGCAGAGCAACATAGCTACCATCTGAAACTATCTTTAAAGGGGGGCTCACCATACATTTGCCTGACCTGGGTGGATCAGGCCAGCGTGATCTCATCGGATCTTGGAAGCTAAGCAGGGTGGGCCCTGTTTAGTATTTGGATAGGAGACCTCCAAGACAACCCAGAGTTGCTATGCAGAGGCAGGCTGGCCAGAGCCTCATCACATTTTGGAAACAAAGCAGAGTCAGCCCTGGTTAGTACTTGGATGTGAGACCATGGAGAAGGTCGCTCTGCAGAGACAGGCAATGGCCAATCACCTCTGACTCTTGCCTTGAAAGCCCTATGGCAGGCGTGTCAAACTCATTTGTTACGAGGGCCAGATCTAACATAAAGAGGCCTTGTTGGGCTGGACCGTGTGTGTCATAAAATGTAATGCCAGGTGGCGGAGAGATAAACTTTATAAAGGACACAAACGCAAAGGTTTTTTTTGTAACTTTAAAAAAAAAAAATGCTTCAAACAGCAGCACTGTTGCAATATTTTGTTTAGTTAACAGTGTCTGATCACTGACCCGTCTTGCTCTGAATGATTGCATCAAAATGTCTGTGCTGTTGCAATCGTGAGTATGCTGTTCAGGTGTGTCTCTGTAAGCTGCAAATCTACGATGACGCAGCAGCAGCAGAACTGGAAGAAGAAACAGAAGACAGCCAGTTCCACTGCGGGCCTGATAGGAGCCCTCTGGGGGCCTCATGTTTGACACCCCTGCCCTATGGAGTGACTTGACATACACAGACTTTATATTCAGGGTTAGGGTCATCCTCTTTGCTATTTATCTTATCCGAAGAAGTGGAGAAGTGAGCAGTGACTCAGGACAGCTCCTCCCCTGCCACAAATTTTGTTTGCCTTTAAGGTTCTCCTGAATTCTTGCTATTTTCTACTGCCATAGACAGACTAACACAGCGATCCGTCTTGATCTATCTTAGTTTGATTCAGCTGGGGTCACCATGTTGGTCTGAAGCAGCAGAACCAAGTTTGAGTCCGGTGGCACCTTGAAGACCAACAAAGTTTATTTCTGGGTATGAGCTTCTTCCAGATACTAAGAGCCAGTTTGGTGTGGTGCTTAAGTGTGCAGACTCTAATCTGGGAGAACCGGGTTTGATTCCCCACTCCTCCACTCGCAGCTGCTGAATGACCTTGGGCAAGCCATAGTTCTGTCAGAGCTCTCTCAGCCCCACCTACCTCACAGGGTGTCTGTTGTGGGGAGGGGAAGGGAAAGGAGTTTGTGAGCCGCTCTGAGACTCCTTTGGGTAGAGAAGGGCGGGGTATAAATCCAAACTCTTATTATTATTATTTTCCTCCACTTGCACCTGGCTGGATGACCTTGGGCAAGCCGTAGTTCTGATAAAAGCTGTCCTTGAAAAAGAGCCGTTTCTGTCAAGAGCTCTCTCAGCCCCACCTACTTCCCAGGGTGTCCGTTGTGAGGAGGGGAAGGGAAAGGAGTTTGTAAGACGTTCTGAGACACCTTCGGGTAGTGAAGGGCAGGGTATGAATCCAGTCTCCTCCTCCTCCTCTTCTTCTTCTTCTTCTTCTCAGTTCTCTCAGAGCTCTCTCAGCCCCACCTGCCTCACAGGGTGTCCGTTGTGGGGAGGGGAAGGGAAAGGAGTTTGTAAGCCGCTCTGAGACTCCATTGGGTAGTGAAGGGCGGGGTAGAAATCCAATCTCTTCTTCTTCTTCTACATATTATTTTATTTCTTTATTTAATTTATACCCCACCCTCCCTGTGAAGGCAGGCTCAGGGCGGCTTACACCATTTGATACATAAATAACAATGCATACATGCTCCCGGAATTAAACTTTCTTGGTCTTCAAGGGGCCACTGGACTCAAACCTGGTTCTCTTGGTCTGATTTGGTTCTCATGCATTCATGTTCAAGAATCCACCCGGCTCTGCCTTCCCGCCCAGCCACACCACTAAGCAAGCACTGGCTGCCTGAGCGCTTTCCTCCCCTGCACCAGAGGCGCCGAGCTGGCACCTTAGACGGAATCCGAGGTGTGTGTGTGTGTTAAGGGACCAGGTCCATGGGCAGCTGAGTTCCCCCCCCCCAGCTCCCAAGCCCGGGGGAGGGCACGGAGGGGAAAGGGCCCCTTTGACCTTGAACGGCCCTGCCCCCCTCCCGCATCCAGGGCTCTTTCCCACGCCCAGAGGCAGTTCCCGGGCCAGACCGAAGGGTGGCGCGTGTTCCCTCTAAGCCCTGGAGTCCTGTGAGCAAAAATTCTACTTTGTGAGCTCCTGGCATTCAAGTTGTGAGCGAGCGATTTGGCTGCTGCCTAAATTAGTTTGCTCCTTCCTGAGCCAAGACAAAAATCTGCGAGCTGGAGGCTCAAAAGCTATGAGCTAGCTCACACCAACGCAGCTTAGAGGGAACACTGGGCCTGCCAGCCTGCCCCCCAGATCTGGGAGGGGGGGGCACTTTCCCACCCACCCCCAGGCGTTGCATAAGGGGGGAAAGAGGCTCCCTCCAGCCAGGTACAAGGGCCGCCCCGCAGCCAACCGACTCGCCCTCCTCCTCCTCCCCACGCCCAGCGCACAGGCACGTCGGAAAGGGGGTGGCATCGAGCTCTTAAAGGCGCCGCCCGGGATGTAAGGGCGGGGGGGGGGCACCCTGTGGGCGGCCTCGCAGCCGTGGATCGGGGCGCTCTGCTTGGAGAAAGTCGATCTGCGGCGACCCAGAGAGGCAGGGAGGGTCGCCCGGGCTTGCAATGTTCCCTCTAAGCTGTGCAGCCTCGTGAGCCAAAATCCTACTTTGCAATGTTCCCTCTAAGCTGTGGAGTCTTGTGAGCAAAAATCCTACTTTGTGAGCTACTAGCATTAAAGTTGTGTTTGAGCGATTTGGCTGCTGAATAAATTAGTTTGCTCTGGAGCCCTCCTTCCCGAGCGAAGACATAAATGTGTGAGCCGGAGGCTGAAAAACTGTGAGCCAGCTCACACTCACTCAGCTTAGAGGGAACACTAGCGGCTTGTTGCACCCAGCGCCGCTTGCACCCGCACCCTTACCTGCGAGGAGGCTGCCCGGGGGACTCCGGGGGGTGTGTGGCTCCGAGCCCCGCGGCCCCGCGCTTGGAGGAGGGCTGGATCGCCGGGAGGGGGGTCCCTCTTTCCCGGCGCCACGCCGCCCCTCGGGAGCAGCTGCGGCGCGGAAGTCCCCCG